TTATCCCGATACGTTGCTTTCCCCTCAATATTTAAAAGATAATTTTTGTTTTTATTGATTGACTAATTCACTGATCATTTATCCCTGAAGTGTACCACGCTCAATAATTATAGACTAAATCGATTTATCGAAGAAATAATAATTAATTCCGAGAAACAAGGCGATTATTTTAAATTATTTTTCAACTTATTATTCGCGCGTGACTCACAGCTATAAATTAATAGAGAAGATAATAATCAGCAATATGAAATTCATCGATACAAGTTCATCTCATAGTAGAAAAATACATTCAAAGAAAATAGCACATTATGAGGCCAATCAGTAAGTAAACCTTTCAACGACTAGAGTGGCGATTAAGTGACAAATCTGATTTAATAATGTCACAACAAAATTTTAATTTTGATGGGTATGTATCGTGACGAGAAGGAACTTAAATTAAAGGAAATTAAAAAATGGGACAATACTCGTAAAATCACAATCATGATAGTCAAATTCCAAAGTAACTTGTTGAAAAATTTATCGAATTAATCAAAATTGGAAGACCAAATTATTAAAAATATAAAATTTGTCCTGCATAATTGTAATATATAAATTAGCAAAACAAAATATAATAACACTGCAAAAATGACGATCCCCCGAAATATTATATTATATTGCAAAATATTTGCAACTATATATTTCAAAATACTTTGACTTTATATAATGTGTTACTTCAATTGAAATCCCCGACCATCGCTTATCTTTTTCTCATTAGTATGAATACAGCGGTGATCATTCTCTTTCATGTGGTATAAAAAATAATCTATTCAATAGATTCAGCCGCCTTAATCTTACAGAATATATAAACATTGAGATACAAATAGAGATATTGACATAGAGAAATAAAAAACGATGAAACTTGATGTGTAAATTGTAACGAAAAACTAGTCTAAGAAAAAATTGTCTAAGAACTAAGAACTGTCTAAGAAAAACATTAATGCACGGAAAAAAATTTTGGTTGAATTAACATTTAAAAGTGAACCAGATTAAGGTTGGTGATATATCTTCCACTCGCTAAGGAAATACGTGTTAATATGCACTTTTATCCATTTTTAGTGTCTATCCGGAAGCTTCTCTCAAGAATTTGGCGTCCGCCATCGAGAAAACGACATTTCTATGACTGACTGATTCACGTTAGCTCCTTAAAAACAAATGCGCAAAATATCTGGTCGAGAATAAACGATCCAGAAATTCCGATTGAGGAAACCCGAATTGTGTTTAAGTCAACCATAAATCTTATTAACTTAAACCATAAATCTTATTAACTTAAACAGAGTTCGGGTTACTTTAATCGGAATTCCTGAATCGTTCATATTCAACCAGATATTTGGTTAATTCAACCAAGTTTTTTTTCCGTGTGTAATTTACAATGTACGAAATATATGACCCACATAAATTACTTTTTTTATCGCGCAGATTTTAATCGCCTAATAACGGCCTTATTTTTTAGCATTGTAAATCGCACTTATCATCATAAATCATATCTATATGAACAAATTATATAGTTCTTTTACATCACGGCCACACCTCTATAAATACGAAGATTCTACGTCAAAGAAAAATAGTCTACGGTGCAACTTCGTGACACAAACATATTCGAAAAATTCAAAATGAAAACTTTAATGATTATCGTGACTGTACTATCTGTTATAGTAAGTACGAGAAAACAAATAAACTTCACCGTGCTCTTATACAGTATATTATCTTCATGAACACTAAACTCATATATTTCAATACATAAAGTTCATCTTCAAATTACACATAATTTGCAACATGGTATACAAAAATATATAAAATCGAAAATCAACGCAACAGATCTAATATTAATATTACACTCTATTTATAACGAAGAATAAAATGCCACAAAATCAAACATTTTATTAAAAATGGTATACAAAAAAAAATTCATACAATACATATACCCGTCCACAGTAATAAAGAGTTTACCGCGGTTATGTATTTTCTAAGTGTGAGATTGCATTGATAACTCGCATAATAATATAAATCTTGTTTGTACATTTATATATTGCGTAAATTGTATAATTTACTACTGTGCACAGTGTAAAAGCACCACAAATTGGTTGGGTTTTGCTTAGAAATTGCTTAATTAATCGTCATATTCTAGAACCTAGCAAATAGAGCATTTTACCAAGGATTTATGATTAGTGAAGATTGAAAAATATCGAGCATATATTAAAGAAAATTGAAAAGCCACGCGAATAATTAGATACATTTATAACACACTTAAAATAAAATTCAACTTTATAAATTGGGTAAACATTATATTAATAGAGCGAATAATTTTTTTAGGAATAAATATTTAAAGGATGATATCTAAAGCAGACTATTAAGGTACTATGTATTTTGCTTTCTATGTAGCGTTCGATGATAATCAATAGAAAAGATTACATCTTTTAAAGGCACTGCTCCAAACATTGAGACACGTAGGATTTATGATTTCTGGAGAGTCAATGCATCCAGCAAGAATATTACCGAGAAACAGGAAATCAGCAATTAGTCTACTCCTAAAAGACAAAATCCCGAAGTCACGTTAACGTTGTTTATATCCATGACATTAAATTGACATAGATTGTCCAACATAAAAGCTCAGTCTCCGAATAAATAGGTGTTGGACTCCTTTAATAATATTTTTAATTAAATAACATGTCTGACAACTAATATCCAATAATTTATTTTGGAATCGTTTATTTGATAATTAATTTTAGCAAATTCAATCACTGCCTAATTGATAACTGAATTGGATGAATTTAATTAAAGCCCATTCAACTGAAGATTGACATAAGCGTAGGAAACTAATGATGTTTCAATGAACATCATTTATTACATGATATTACATCGTAATTAAATATAGCAAATACTATTGAATTTTGTTTAATTAACGATTAATATGAACAAATTTCAACCAATTCAATCAATAATCGATCGAACAATTAGTATGACAAGTCCCCCCCCCCCC